TTTGAGGTACTCAAATGACGGAGAACTTCATATTACCCAAAAGCTATCAACCAATTTTGGAGCGTCACGGATCTGAAAATTCACAAGCACATGAGCTAGCGTACGTCAAAAAGTCGTCAACTTATCGATGCCGTCCTTCACGCTTATTTAGCCTTGAAATATGACCTTAACATGTTAGGACTTAGTAGCGAGAGGTAGTTCATGCGTTGGTAAATATTCTGATGTTTGAAAATTCGAAATCGGCCGATAACTCTTGGGTGATATAAAGCTCCCCATCCCTTGAGCCCGACAAAGTAAAACAATAGTTCGACCGTGAAGAGTAACCTTGAAAGGTCAAGAGTTTTTGACGGACGCTGTCTTAAGCGCAGCCGGGTATTTTCATGCTTAGAGATTCGAAGTCGACCGGTAGCGTCTTGACGAAGTGAAGTTCCCCGTTAGAAGTTGAATTTGACTTTTAAATCCACGTATTATTGAACACTTTACGACAGATTCTATATTTTTGTATGAAGTTTGACAATGAGTCGCATTCTTAGAAAATCGAAACTCGTCTTTTAATAAATTGCTGCGTAAGTATCTAACTTCACGGACGTGAACCGGGTGGCGTTGGCTGATGCAGGTGTGTGAAAACGACAATGTGTCGTGAAGTGAAGTTTTCCAAATCTTTTCACGCACCATTTGTGCCCTTAAACGACCGACTGAAACAGTTATTTCACCTGTAAAATTTTGAAGTTGATCCTTTGAACGGATTAACGTTAAAGCAACGATACACATTTCACTAATGCGTCAAGGGTTTGTGTTGCTGTAAATGCTAATAATTCGGATGCCAATGCAAATGCGTTACTGACCGGAAAATTGCTAAAGGGAGATTAACGCCCTGGACTAATTTTAACGCGAACCAATGAATTGCATAAAGCGTTCGACGTTACTACTTTCCGATACGAGGTCTCCTTTCCGCCCGCCCGTCCATCGCCATTTGGGGGCCGATGCCGCGTGGCCTACGGAGACTGCAACGACAGGCGACGGTGTTTTTGGTTCTGAAGTCTGACAAGCGCGCTTGCTCAAACATATCTTATAAGTTTTTGTTTCCAATGCTCGGTTCTGAAGAAAGCTTAACATCCGCAGGTGAACAAGGCTAACATAAGTTGGCCGTATCATTGCATTAGGCTTACCTCATTTCAATCTATAATCTTTAGGCATCTATGTGTAATCCACAAGCCCCTCAATATCTCTGTAGAATCCGGAAATGTTAGCAACACCCTTGACTGCCATCCATTTAGAAAACCCACTGATCCAATGCAAAATGAATAGCGCGGGCTAGCTTCATTAGTTACATCTGGTATCTTCCTTCCATCAACTTCTAAGAACTGGCAGCAGTAAATGTTTTGGCGTTTTCTCACTTATGTTGCAGTTAAGGAAAATACAAAATAAACACAAAACAAAGGAAATGGAGCCGCTCAAAATTTGCCCAGCCGTATTCGTTTGGGCGGACTGTTTTCGTCCACAGGGGTCCTCTGTCAATTTCGTATCCACCTTGCCAAAACTTATGCCCGTGCACCTGGGGATTTATTCAGCGACTCATTCAGCGACCAGTTCCGATTTCCCTCAGTAAAAGTCCTTTCGATCAATCACCACTCGCCCTTAATTTGGGAATGCATACGAAAAAACAAGGGATGGTTGCGGAATTTGATTTTTATATTTCTTAAGATATAGAGCCCACTTTTTGCTCAGAAAAATGTCTGGGATCAGCGCCGGCGCTGAGTGGTGCTTGTTGCGCGAGCCTTAACACCTCCATTCAGTCGTGGAACTCGGGTCAACGGTAGAGTTTTACCGCAAGAGGTTAACGTGCCGCAACGTTTGGCATTGTCTGTCCTACTCTGATGGTGAGGTCCTCGGACGTCGCCTAACCTTTTCGCATCTGCTGCTGCCGGCCGCAATCCAAGCCAGCTTGGGCTGAATATTGAGCACCTAAAACCACTCGAACCCTTCGCGCCACCAGCAGGTAAGCCAAAGCGCAGGCGCTATAACCAACCGAGTTATTGGGACGCACTAGGGAGGCGAAGGGAAGAGCAATCATTGAGCACCTCGCCAAAGTCAGCAAATCTTAGCGTGGTGCTCTCATCGTCTTTCGCAAATGGAAATCAGGCACAATTATCGGCCCGAGAATGCGTCCTTTGCTTTTGCTATGATTTGTTGTTCTCCATTCTAAACAAGTCATATTATTCTGCCGATGTGTTTGGTAGTGCTGATGCGCTTTTAATGCTAAAACTTTTCCGCAAAAACCAGAACCGACATTTCCCTACCCTTTCTTCAGTAGTTCGTCCCAGTAATTCAGATGATCGTAGTTTTGAGATCCCATTCACATGCTGGAGGCGAGGAGGGTCCAAGCCGCTTCATGCGCTCATCACTTAGCTCCGGCTGACATGAACTGCGGCCGGTAGCAGCCGGTTCGGGAATGCCCAGATGACGTCACAGTCCAACCTTCAGCGTAAAGCGGGGAGTGCCAGGCGCCTCAGCACGATAAGCTTTCGCCGTCAAGTCCTACCGTTGACCCGGAGTTGCATTATCGAATGGGTGTGTCAGGGCGCACGCAACCAGCATCCCTCAGTGTAGGCGCTGATCCCATGAATTCATCCAAGCAGCATATTGAAACGAAATCCTTTAAAAAAATCTAGAAGAAATGAAATAGTGCAGCCAAATTCTTCGTCTTTATTTCGTTAGTTTTGCCAAATTAAGGCCAAATGACAATGCATGCATACCATCCACTCGTCTGATATGCGAACAGAACCGACGTACAGCAGCCTCTTCCGCTCACTTCGATTCCGGTCACGGTTCACTACCACACCGTTGAACCAATGGGCCGACCATCAAACGCTCCGTCCCTCTGATCTGGCTGCTGCCGAGGATACACGCCTGGGCTCCGTCCTTCTGATCCGTCTGCTGCCGAGGATACACTTCTGGGCTCCGTCCCTCCGATCTGTCTGCTGCCGAGGATACACGCCTGGGCTCCGTCCCTCTGATCTGTCTGCTGCCGAGGATACACACCTGCATTGTGACTGTTCCGCACAGCCGCTTTGTACTGCATTGCAGTCTAAGGTTCCATAATTGGCCCCCAAGAAACAAGAAATAAGGTGCACTGGAGAGCGAGGGGACATTATTTTTGCTGTTTTTGTACCTGGGCACATTACTGTTAGCATCACATTAATTTCGCACCAAATAATATTCGGTAGGTTTTTAATGTGTCGTCATAGCAGCTCCTTCATGTATTAGGACAGTCTGCAAGTGTTTGACAAGTTTTTCACATGGTACCACCTGCCCTAAGATGAGTAACAATTGACTGCAGTGTGCAGCAGCTGTTAAAAGTACAGGGTAGCCGAGATGAAAGCCAACCCGTCTTCTCATCAACACTCAAGTGTGTTTGTCACAAATCGTCACTTTAGTGGCATTCGGCTGCCAATTGCCTGGCAAAACACGATCAGCAAATTGCTTTAACTTTACATTCTAACAGTTTGATTTATATGTAGACATATCGTGGCAGTGTGCTCAACAATTTTCCATTCGCTCTAGTCTGTACATGCCATCCACGCCTATCGACATAAAACTACCTTTTTGCGCCTCGGGCCACCTTCAGTGAACCATAAGCGATACCGGTTTTGGTAAATCACAAGGACACGAACTGCTAAGATATTTGTATCTGTGAATTACATCCCATTCTAAGCTCTTCACAAAAATGCAGCTTCCCATCGCCCTGAAATGGTAGGCCGTTCGTCCGTGGCAAAAACAAATTGGAGTGCTACGTTTTTAGACAGTCATTTTCGTAACAAATGACAATTCTATCCATAACTTGGGACGCAAATTAAAGTGGTCGAAATCTGGGGAGAGATCAATTTTGGGGCAGGTCCGGTCTATTGACTCAGCCCCCAACCCCAACTGACTTTAGATTCCAGAAAGTGATACCCCCGGTTAGCATGAAAGTGTCATTCCTGTAAATGAATAAGGTTGGTGTCCTGGGAAACGATGGGCATCACTAATCATTGCCACGCTGTTAGTGAGGCTGTCTGAGACCAAACGTGCGCCTGTTTGTTTAGTGCTCAGCATGCACAATAAACCAAGCTTGACATATCTGTCCCATACCGGTAGGCGCCTTCGCTTATTATCTGAACGCTAAAACACTCAGCCGGCTTGCATTTGAATCTGAAGTGAACTCTTACAGTCCCATATATTTTTGGGGACATGCTGCAGAGTCTTGAACCACTGACCCTTACAAACCCCTTCATGCCCATCGATAGTGTAAGCTAAAATGTCTAAATAAGAAACCGGGCTGACTAGGTTTCATCTCCGCCGTCCGTATTCCACTCTGGTGCACACCGCGCCTCTGGCCGGCGCCCATTCCGCGGACCGGACTCCCGGCCGTCTTCCGCCTTCGAGGACCGTGCAGGGCAGGACAGGGTGTCGCGGGCTAGCACCTATACCGCGGACCTGACACCCGGCCGCCAGGCGCTGGGGAAGCGGGCGTTTGGGGCCGTCACGGGACAGAGACGAACGTTTCTTCGGCAGGGTCGGGGACCTGACGGCGGCCGCCATGTGCCGGGGAAAGACGGGTCTCCACCGGCAGGGTCGGGCGGCGGGGCCCGCGGCCGGCGCCGGTTCCATGGACCTGACGGCGGCCGCCAGGCGCCGGGGAGAGGCGGGTCTCCACCGGCAGGGTCGGGCGGTGGGGACCGCGGCCGGCGCCGGTTCCATGGACCTGACGGCGGCCGCCATGTGCCGGGGAGAGACGGGTCTCCACCGGCAGGGTCGGACGGCGGGGACCGCGGCCGGCGCCGGTTCTATGGACCTGACGGCGGGTCTCCACCGGCAGGGTCGGGCGGTGGGGACCGCGGCCGGCGCCGGTTCCATGGACCTGACGGCGGCCGCCATGTGCCGGGTAAGCGGATTTCCATGAGCAGGGTCGGGCGGCGCGGCGCGGTGGGCCGGCACCAGTCCGCTCCGGTGGCTCACGGATAAAGGACGAGGAGCAGCGGCGGCGCCGTCGTCGACTGACAGAGACGCCAGCAGAAGCACTGCCCACAGAGGAGTGTGCGCCAGCTCCGATCGCCCGCCGACCAGAAAACACGGGCTGCGGACGCAGACGTGTGCGAAGCTTCACACAGTGAGAACTCCTGTTACAAACTGCTGTGTTGATATTTGATCACTCGGTGTTTTTAGTCTCTGCCAGTTTATTGTCGAAGGTAACCCTTGCTGAGGTATCTTATCAGGCTGGGCGATGTACGGTACCTTAATATCCTCAGGCCGACAACCGTTTTCCAACATGCATGTTGCACATTAAAGATGACAGTAAGTAAGCCGTACTGACCACATGTTCAAAGAGGTCGATAGAGCGATTCACAGTGCGTTCGACGAGCGATTTGGCTCGTCTAAATCGTTAAGCAAAACTTATACCGTGCAATGATGACATCGATAACATCCACAGGTATCCTGATACCTTGACACAGTGAGGCATCCAGGTGCCTTGTTGCGTCTTGTTTTGTTGCTAACCAACGTTCTAAAGGCTTCGTAATTTTTTTCGGGTCTGAGCTTTAATGCACTTTTAATAGTAGTGGTTCCTAACGGTAGGCAAGTGGCAAGTTGATAATTTTTACGAACGGCGACTTTGCGGCCCATCCATGCATTTCTCTTGCTGTTGGGCCTCACAGCTTTGGCATCAGAATGTCCTGAGAGCCACCGCAAGGCACCGCAAAAGGCGCAAAGCTCTTTACCGTTCCGTTAATCCGTCTGGCGCTCGGCCACTCTCGTCACCCTGTACCAGCGTATCAGCTGCTATTTGGGAACTCCTCGGCAAGTAACTCAGCCCGGGCGAGTGATTGCCAGTCGGCCAGACTTTTTCGGTGAGGTGTTAAAGATTCCAGTGGCATTTCAGGTGTTTGCATTAGACTTGTGGCTAGCCAGACGTCAGTGGTAGGGACTGCTGACCATCTATCTGGTTGCTGGCACTGCGGTGACCATGAGAACGTCTATCACAGAGATTCTAGCAGCGGTGAAGTCATACGCCATTCACTTTGCTGAAAGTCACGTCGCAAGACGTATGTCACATGGGCTTTGTTGACCAGACTTCTGTCACAGAAACCTTATCACGGAGGCTTGGATCTGGTTATGGTCTGTATGCCTGCCACTGAAACTCTGTTAACAGTTCAAATATGTGTCACGGATTCTTTGCTGATAGCTTATATGTTTGTACCAGAGTCTGCGTAAACGGTGCAACTGTCCACCACGGCGGTTCTCCGAACAGTTCAGATGCAGGTCATTAAGATCCTGTTGACAGTCCAAAGGTCTGTCACGGGGCTCTCCGAACAGGTCAGATGACGGACGCAAAGGTCCTCTTCGCAGTCCCAAGATCCATCACCAGACTCTCCTAACCGCTCTCTCCTAACCGCTCAGATGCAGGTCACAACGGTCCTATTCACAGTCCAGGCCTCTGTGACTTCGATTTCGTTGACAGTCCGTGTTCCGTCCTTGGGGGCTCCGTTTGCGGGCATAACGTCCGGCACAGATATTCTGTTAACATCCCAGAAATCCTCTTATTTTTGTTATCCGGCGTGCCGGCTGTTAGTGGATTATCTGGACAGCTTTGCTGTGCCGTGCACCAAAAGCGATCCACTAATCTGGGCGTTGTCTGTGGCAGCGGTTATCAGAGACAAGCTTATGCAATCTCTGCTGCCTTGTGCATTTCCTTGGCCCCTCGCTGCATGGTTTACTGATTGTTGGCATGCCCTCGCTTTTCGCCTTATTGCTTCTCTTTTTTGCCCCGGCGCGGTAATGCCGACATTGTTTATGTCGTAACTGGCCCAGTGCCTGTGTCCATATTACGCCGAAAGATCTCACGAATTTCTTGAGAATGCCAGAAGCCGCCATTCGCTGTTGTGTGAGAGGTAACTATAAAACGAACTCCTTATCACTGTGCCCTACTAAATTGTGTTGGTGAAATGACGCACTGTACGCTGACGCTTCGCAGGTGGAGCCACGTAGGCTGACATTCTGCTGATGCTAATAACTATCCCTCCAGGACATTCGCTCACAAGACCAAACTCGCCCACTGAGTCAGGAAAGTGTCTGATGCGTCGTATGAGAGAAATGCGGAGACAGGTCCTTTGGGCTTGGCTGTATTGCTTACGTCTCTCTGCAGCACAAATGTGTGCGAGACGATAGGATGCTCAGGTACATGAAGCGCCATCTCCTTCGTGATGAGCGCAGCTACAAACTAAGGTTAACACTAACATACATACAGCAAACGTTCCTGCCTTAACTGCCAATACGTCAATATTCCACTCGGTGCGCCTGTTGAGAATTAGTTTATTAGCGACGCTGTGCTGTAACGTGGCCACAGACATTGTTCTGCCGAATGAGAAGTGGAACCTTCTACCACTTCCTTGATCTCGTCACAGCCAAACAGCGCACCCAGCTTATCAGGGCAGCTTATGCAGCGCATGTCGATTGTACGACTAACAACCTAAACTAACGGACGGCGTAGACACGATCCGCTGGTATCTTTTACGTGCTCTGATGGCACAGGACATTGGGGAACGACATCCGCGTCGCCATGTTCGGTTGCTGTGACTTCGGATGCATACCCAAGTTTATTTTTTTAAATGTTATATTTACCTACCTGCGAGTGGTGGCCTCATACCACTGCCCGAATTCACAAGCACCCAGCTGGTCATTTTCTGCTGACGAATTTTCATCTTTCGTTCGTTGTCAGCAGGTCATCTTCTGATGACTACCTGCTGACTTCTGGTTCTGATACAGATTCAGATCTCACAGGGTGTGAAAAAGAGATGACAACTTTCCCCACCACGTGCGAGCTGGCACGTGGCTGGCACTGGCTGGCTGGCTTTATGTCACTCGAGCGCAATGGGCCGTGAGCCAGCCCCCACCCCAGCTCCATGTGAGTCACAGCATAACGCCTTGCTCCTATCTTTCCTCCACATATGGTTCTGGTCGGGAAGCCCGACTGTCGCTCCTCTGCTCTGATCGAATCACGTATCTCTTGCAGAACCCCGCGTTCGACAATGCTGGGCTGGCTAGCTGCACTGTTGCTGGCCTCCACGGCCTGCACCGCGACGAGGCCTGGCGTATCTCCATCGGCACAGCGCTGTAAGCCTCACGACCAGCACACAGGCGACCAAGCGCCTGTTGTATGCTGACGGACCCTTATAAGCCGACGGCCAGTGGGTCAGGACTGGAATGGGGATAGCGATAAGCGCTTTGAGCCTCGGGTCCCATGTTTTCGGATCGTTAACACATTGGCATGTCATTGCGACGCATTTTCCCATCCAGATGCCAAGGTACTAGGAGACCAGGTGGATGGGCTCCCGACTCCAAATGCCAGGGACCTAGGAGATCAGGTGGATGGTCTTCCGACTCCAGATGCCAGGGACCTAGGAGATCAGGTGGATGGTCTTCCGACTCCAGATGCCAGGGACCTAGGAGATCAGGTGGATGGTCTTCCGACTCCAGATGCCAGGGACCTAGGAGATCAGGTGGGTGGGCTCCCGACTCCAAATGTCAGGGACCTAGGAGATCAGGTGGATGGGCTCCCGACTCCAAATGTCAGGGGCCTAGGAGATCAGGTGGATGGTCTTCCGACTCCAGATGCCAGGGACCTAGGAGATCAGGTGGATGGTCTTCCGACCCCAGATGTCAGGGACCTAGGAGATCAGGCGGATGGGCTCCCGACTCCAGATGCCAGGGACTTAGGAGACCAGGTGGATGGGCTCCCGACTCCAGATGCCAGGGACCTAGCAGATCAGGTGGATGGGCTCCCGACTCCAGATGCCAGGGACCTAGAAGACCATATTCTAACGTGAAAAAGGTGGAAACAGAAAGATAACTGGTGATAATCCATCGGATTTTCATTTCATTCAATTTGGGTTACTACCTAGATCAAAAGTAAACCTTTATCTCAAGTTCATTGACGACTCCACCTCAGATAACAGGGTGTGAGAGCTGCCACTTAGACTAGAAAGCGATGCGTGCTTGAATTTTACGTGCTTTTTGGTGCCCGCATGGTTCATGTCAAAGTCAAAATTTCGCTGAAATTGTCTAGCACTAAAAACAAGCCAGAGGCGGAAAGACAGGTAGTGAATATTTATCAGGTTTTCATGTCATGCAATTTTGCATTAATACCAAGATCCAAGTAATCCGATATCCCAATTTAGCTGCAGATAACACGATCTGAGATCCGCCACTAAGGCTGCGAAACGATGCCTATTTGATGGGATCAACTTTTTTCTGCCGCACTGCAGCAGCGTCTTAATAAAGTGAGCTGTGATTTGTTCCACCGCTGCACGCGATCCCATCAAGCGGAAGGCGGCGCGGTGGCACCAGTAATGGCGATCCCATCAAGCGGCAGGCGGCGCGGTGGTACCACCAATGGCGATCCCATCAAGCGGCAGGCGGCGCGGTGGTACCACTAATGGCGATCCCATCAAGCGGCAGGCGGCGCGGTGGTACCACTAATGGCGATCCCATCTGCCCGCTAACACGCCACCTTCGGTCTGCAGTGCTGCTGCTGGAGGCACGGGACTTGGGCTACCTGCCTCCCATGGAGTCCTTCGGCGACGACAGATGTGGCATCAACGTGCCCGGCACCAACCTCGACGAGGAGGAGGTCCATCTCGGCGAATACCCCTGGATGGCTCTGTTGGGATACACCAGTAAGCGCTTACCTGTGGTATGAAGTGTGAAGCTGCCCATCGTGGCGATCATCCCGAGAGGGCTCTGCTGAGATGAACCAATAATCACCCGCGGGTCTGCTGATATTTGGTAGGGGGAGAATTTGCACATTCACCTTCACCTTATAGAATATGGAACGCAAGGCTGTGTTGCTCGTTTCGTGATCAGTACACTCGAACGGTGGCTTTATGGGCTATCATTCATTGTAGCGAGCATTTGCCGTCAGTGGACGGCGTTGAATACTCCACATAGGTATCCCTCGTTCACCCTTGCTGAGCATCGGAACTGACAATCAGACCCGCACCAGACTTCGCTCCACCGGAGTCGATTTCGGCTCTGGCTCACAGCATGTGGGGTTGACTCCGACTCTGACACCGAGCACAGCATACTTTTAAGTCGACTCGGATTCCAATCCGAACAGACATGGCTGATTCCCAGATTTTGTTTCCGATGCGGCTGATTCCGGTCACAAGTGATAAATAGTTTCATGGGCTGCATAAAAACCCACACGGGCCATATCTTTGATAACACTGACGTATCTTATTGCTCCCCCGTTGCACAAAGAACAGCAGTAGGAAGAAAATAACATAAGTAGATGTCTGCATTCCTTCATGAGTTTATTAATTGATGATCGTCACCAAAACGAAGCACAGTGTGTCTTTGACTGCGAACTGCGAACTGCGCGCGTGGGCGAATCTTGAAAGGAATCGATTCCGCTTTGGCGCAGAGAAACTTTGACCCTCTCCGTCGCCATTTCCAACTGCACCCGGAACGAGACACAACCCTACTGGCCGTCCCCGTCGCCACTTCCAACTGCACCCGGAACGAAATACAACCCTACTGGCCGTCCCCGTCGCCACTTCCAACTGCACCCGGAACGAGATGCAACCCTACTGGCCGTCCCCGTCGCCACTTCCAACTGCACCCGGAACGAGACACAACCCTACTGGCCGTCCCCGTCGCCACTTCCAACTGCACCCGGAACGAGACACAACCCTACTGGCCGTCATTAGATACTGTATGGTCTAAGCAATGCTGCCGCTCTTGGTTATCATTATGTGTGGCATTCCACTCACCCGGCCCGGGTTCTGCGGTTATGGGTTCATGGGTATAAACAAATGGGCTTAACATCATTAGACACGCATAAAAAGCACAGGGTATCTTTGTATCATTCGGGTCTCGTATGAGCTTAAACCAGTTAACCGAGAATGAAGTGGGATATTTGGCCATCGTGAAGCTGCTTGACGGAGGCCTTTTTGGTCCTTCCCACCCCTGACATGAAGGTGGCGACTGCGCGTTGTCAAATGACATTCCACATCCCTGCATCTCACGGCGGAGAATATTGGTTACTTAATGGTTACCGATGACGTCATAAATCAATTGAAGTTGAAATATTTCGGATTTTGATGTCGATTTGAAATTTGTATGCAAAATTCAGTGATTTGCTACCAAGTTGACTGGCTGTGCACCGCAGGAGGACTTCATTGAAAGAGCTGCCGTAAGTTTTCATTGATCCCACATTTCACCATCGATTTCGCAGTGCTCACCTTCAGCATGACATACGTCATAAGTCTGATCAAGCCAAGAGGTGTGAGAAGGTCAAATGGCATGCCGGGAAAACAGCTACCGCGGCGTGCGTCTGTAGGGTGGAACGCAAGCCGAAACCAAATACAAACGCATTCCAACATTGTAATGACAACATTTCATGAACTCAAATGCTAAGAGACAGGTCAGCATTGAATGTGCATATTGAATCTGTATGTGGAACGAAGAGGCTTCCAGATATCCTGCAAAGCGGCGTACTCTCATAGTACCATCCGCATATTGCATCCACTATTCCACGCACAGTCGATCAAGATTGGTCTGACGCACTGAGCCGTAGCCAAGCATGTATTTGGTAATTTATATGCAACAGACGTAGCTCTCGGATTGCACACATCCGTTCCGTCAAAGATCACCGTTACGTTTGAAGTCTACATATTCGTTAGAACAGTCGGTAACGCTTGTCTTCGCGCACCCGCTTACAGTGTCTTCTGCGGCACAACTGTGGCTCAAACCCGTGTTTACCACGTGGGAGTCGACCACGCTAATCACCCAGTCGTCAGCCCCCCCCCCCCTTCCTCACCTTGACACACACCTTGTGATGAAAGCTGAGAGTATTACTGACGTGTGATTGGCTGCCATAGGGTGACGAGCGATTTGCGTCAGGTTTTAACAGTCTTATTTAGTTTGATTGCCTGTTCGAATGTAAAGCGGACAGCGCGTCGGAATTTATTGACTGTAACTGATGTGACTGATATGACTTCACATGACCTGTAAGCCAAATAGCAGCGTGCATAAGATACATACCTTGACCCAGATGCTGATCTGTTTTACCTAGCTGATGATCTTATCGTAGATGGTGCTGTCGCAACCGGCGAGACCAGAGTCTCGGATGGCATATGTCGCTAAACCTTCAGAAGGCTTCCCATAAGCCTGCTCCTTTTTTCCTCTCAAAACGTCGAACACGCCGCAAACCCTTTTACAGACACCGACAGGGGCAAGCACTGAGACAAACACACGTGTGCAGATCTCTCCAGGACAGACAAACATCGCGTTGGAGATGGACGTTTACGACCGAGAGGGGCTGTTCTCGTGAATTTGGAAAGATCGTTCATCATACTGAGCCGATAGGTGTTCATGGTGGCGATCGCTATCCGAGGCCCGTCGCTTGTTTAGGGACGCTGCCACTTTCATGCGGCTGGTGTCACACGGAGATGTAGATACCGCCCGGGCGTTCTCATGCGACCCGTGCAAGCAAATCATCTTAGGTTGACGTCAGATTATACAAAAATGGAAGTAAGATGTGGAGCATTGTAACAACTGGTTTTCCAGACCAGATCCGGGGTCTTATCGGCGTAAATTCCCAGCATCTGAGTGGCCGTGAGGGGCGACGACTCATGTCAGCCAGCAGTGGCCGTCGTTCAGAAACGGCATAACTAGCCGTCCGAACAGGTTTAGCAGTGTGCACCGCTTTAGTCCGTTCGACCTCGAGACCGCGGAATGACTCTGGGTCTCCTGGGAGCATCCTCAAACCGTGCTTCCTCTAAGCCGAGTCAGATGGGACACCTTGTGCGCCAACAAACCACGTACCGTGTACCCGCAGGCACTACCACGCCCGACAAGATCACCTACAACTGCGGTGGCACACTGATCAACAATCGGTACGTGCTGACGGCGGCGCACTGCGTCAGCCGGCTCCCGAAGCGGCTGAGCGTCTCATCCGTCCGCCTGGGCGAGCACAACGTCTCCACAGAACTGGATTGTCAGATGGTGAGTACGCCACCACCACCGGCCAGGAGTGTTATCTGGTGAGTAAAACACCACCACCGGCCAGGAGTGTTATCTGGTGAGTAAAACACCAACGCCGGCCGGGACTGTTGTCTGGTGAGTAAAACACCACCACCGGCCGGGACTGTTTTCTGGTGAGCACAGCACCACCACCGGCCGGGACGGCTATCTGGTGAGCACGGCACCACCACCGGCCGGGACTGTTATCTGGTGAGCACGGCACCACCACCGGCCGGGACGGCTATCTGGTGAGCACGGCACCACCACCAGCCGGGACTGTTATCTGGTGAGCACGGCACCACCACCGGCCGGGACGGCTATCTGGTGAGCACGGCACCACCACCGGCCGGGACTGTTATCTGGTGAGCACGGCACCACCACCAGCCGGGACGGCTATCTGGTGAGCACGGCACCACCACCGGCCGGGACGGCTATCTGGTGAGCACGGCACCACCACCAGCCGGGACTGTTATCTGGTGAGCACGGCACCACCACCAGCCGGGACTGTTATCTGGTGAGCACGGCACCACCACCAGCCGGGACTGTTATCTGGTGAGTAAAACATCCATCCATCTAGCAAAACATCCATACTCCATTTTACTTCCTGCCAAGGTCTAGCAGCTACCGTTGCAGCAAACCGAAAGAAACAAGCGCCAATCAAACTCAACAGCCGAAATCCCAGAAGGCGCGAGACCGCCACTTACGGGGGCTCGGCCCGCTGCACCCTCGATGCAACCATGGCCTGATCGTGCAGACTTCTGCAAACGCTGAGCACAATTGTCATGGCACCAGGTAGTCGAGGTCTGCATGCAAATATCCAATCTAAATCCAGCCTCCAGGTACTGCAGGGCATAACATCCTCCTCGTGGAATACTCGATGCATCTGCAAATCATTACGCCAATCTTCGTCTAAATCCGGCATTTGACATTAAGCGTTCCGAACGTTTGTCTACGCTGCCATTTTTGACCGACAAAGCTTGCATTCCAACAGTTAGCACCTATGTGCATGCTGTCATAATCGTGTCAAACAGACCGCAGAGGGAGATTTGCCTTCAAAGTTTGGTGAAAACGGATCTACATAAGTCGTTAATTACAATCGTGTGGGCGTTCCAACGGCACGCTACATAGCTCCACTCAGACATGTTTTTTCGTGTTTTCAAGGCTGCACCACTTTCAACCACTTGCTGTGATTCAGAATGTATCTGTTTACCGGCAGCGCTGTATTTATGCAGGCATAACTTGGCGGTAATGAACTGTTACACACGCCCACACACACCCACCCACACCCACCCACACCCACACACCCACACACACACCCACCCACACCACACACACCCACACCCACACCCACACCCCCCACACACACACACACACACCCACACCCACCACACACCCACACCCACACCCACCCACACCCACACCCACACCCACACCCACACCCACACCCACACCCACACCCACACCCACACCCACACCCACACCCACACCCACACCCACACCCACACCCACACCCACACCCACACCCACACCCACACCCACACCCACACCCACACCACACCACACACCCACACACCACACACACACACACACACACACACACACACACACACACACACACACACACACACACACACACACACACACACACACACACACACACACACACACACACACACATACACACACACACACACACACACACACACACACACACACGCACACACACGCACACACACACATATATATATATATATATACATATATATATATATATATATATATATATATATATATATATATATATATATATATATATGTATATATATATACATGCGTAAATCATCTCATGCATGCTGTCTTTTTTGGTTGCTGAACACAAACATTTATATATTGTGTACGTGTATGCTATCTTGATCAGATTACCACCAGACGAACATATCAGATTAGGCAGAAGAGAGGTTTCACGAGTAGCACCCTACCTAGCAATACCTAGCTGGCCGATTGTGTGGCGATGCGTGGTGCTGTCTGCACTGCTCAGATTTGTTGCAAAATCATGGTGGTGTTTCTGTTGAGAAATTAACCGTGCTTTTACAACGCTTGAGAAATGAAACGTGACAGTCATGCATTTTCATAAATATTACGCTGGGCCAGTAAGAATTAATCAAATGCTGTCATCTGCCGAAAAGATGTAAATGAAAATACTTAATGTGAGGAAAGGAAAACGCCATTGTTGAACGGGCATTCACCAAACGTGTACTATTTTGACTGAAGTTAGTCCGGCTGAAAGTTGTGTGCGTTGGCGGGGGGTACATTTTGGCAGCTCATGTCCACTCCCTCTCTCCTTCTGCGACTCTGGGAGTCGTGTGGGAGGTTTAGAGCCTAAAGTAGACGCTAAAATAAAATAGCATATGCTAGACGTATGGAATGACATGAAATGCCTCTGGCATGCACGGCAAGCCGATAAAATAAAGAATAAAGAGGGTGATGGGGTCGCAATAAAAAGATAACTATAAGAAAAACAGGTTTTGAAGGGCGTTTCATTGCATGCACATACATAACGGGCTCCTGCAGCCTATCCCATGTGGTCTTCTCGGCATTACCACCAGGTGTCTGTAGGGCAGTGCTTAAAATCGAGGTGTGAACACCAATCCCTTTTCGACATTTACGCCGTCTTGGGCTCGCATGACAATCACCTGGTCACCTGGCGTCCAACACGTCACAGTCATGAAGCTTCCCCCCTGGTTGACAATCACCCTGGTCACCTGGCGTCCGACACGTCACAGTCATGAAGCGTCGCCCCTGGTTGACAATCACCTGGTCACCTGGCGTCCAACACGTCACAGTCATGAAGCGTCGCCCCCTGGTTGACAATCACCTGGTCACCTGGCGTCCAACACGTCACAGTCATGAAGCATCGCCCCTGGTTGACAGTCACCTGGCCACCTGGTGTCCGACACGTCACAGTCATGAAGCGTCGCCCCTGGTTGACAGTCACCTGGTCACCTGGTGTCCGACACGTCACAGTCATGAAGCGTCGCCCCTGGCTGGGATCGGATTTCTCAGGAATGTTACGGCTCACTGGCCATGTACCTGGAGTTTACACAGGCCCCTCCTCCGCGCATCACTTGGCCATGAGCAGGACATTAAAGTGCACCGCAAGGAATCTTCCAGTGATGTGCCGCGGTGTATAATGTCTTCAACCGCGTCGTTTGCGGTCCGCCGCGCGCTGATCTTGCCCCCCCCCCCCCCCTTGCCTCCCGTGTTTGTGCAGGTCGGCGGCCGGGAGGTTGTGCACTGGAGCCGGTGCAGGACTTCGGTTATCGAGGAAGATCATCCCGCACGAGGAGCACCACAGGCCCGTGAAGTACCGGAACGACATCGCGCCTGGTGCGGCTGGACCGGCCGGTGCGGCGCACCAGTGAGTCAGAGTCACAGGCGGGGCCGACGGCCGACGTCCTGGCGCCGCTCTCCGCCCTGTCACAGGGCCATTCTGCACGGACAGTCTCGCGGCATGACCATTAGTGCCGAGTACCGCGGCGTGTGCAAGACTTTGAGCTCGGAACACGCGACGGTAAAAAAGCAACTTCCCGTTTACAAACGCACCATCGGTCAAGGGCTTCATGCCGTACTCAGTTGCTGATTTATATATATATATATATATATATATATATATATATATATATATATATATATATATATACATTGTTTCGTTCCCAAAAGCCCAGTTGCTTACAGCGGCTATCTCCTGATTTATCCACCGGAGGCGGGAAGGGTTTGAGGCGTGTTGGGCGCTCACTGTTTGACCATAACTGACATGACCTGTGGCCGGAGGAAGTGGCCGTGCTAAATTTCGACGGAAGTTAAAAGGACCATGCCGAGCAATGTGACAAGTAAAACTCTGCCGTTAACTTGGTACTTGGATAATCAGATGATATGACCAGGACCACGCGTCAAGTACTGCTTAGAGTGAGTGCTGATCCCACAAATCCTGGCAAGCAAAAGGTTCGGGCAAAATAGTAAAAATGGCTGATATATATATATATATATATATATATAATATATATATAGATAATTATATATATGTATATATATTTCATAATATCATTATATTTTACGCAAAGAATGTTCGATGCATAACGCATGCTTTGCATTTGTATTCACCCATCGTAAGTAAACGAAGTTGTAGCTTTAAGAGTATATGCAATGTGGAGGCAAACGAGGGATGAGCATTCATGTATGCATTGTTCATAGCAGGCGCCCTCAATACGCACATCCCCAGTTGTCCCCTTATCGGTACACGCTATTTCGATTGACATGAAATGACCACAGCTTCGTAGCAAATGCGTATGAGTACGCGTACACGCGCCGATCGCCCCGGTTCTTAACACGGGCGCACGTTCTCCTCTTGAGCTATAAACGCACGCTACGCTTCGCTAACATTATGCGCCACCGGTCATTCCTAATGCCGTGTACGCGCCCCTCTCTCCTTACTGCGCCTCAGGACTACCTGGTGCCGGACATTCCTCTCAATGCAGTGTTTGAAAATGTGTGTAAAAATGTCTTCCCATTAGACAATGCAAGCATGTTTTGCTTTTGGACTCAGATTCATTGCTCGTAAAGGAAATAATTGTTGCACTGTTAGATAGTCTTCCTGTCCGTAAAAAGTAAATAGGTCTGTTTATTCAAGCGTAAACAGAAGGTTAGAAAATGCCCTCCTGTGATTGAAATAGGTAGTATCTCAATAACTGCAGGATGGGAACATCTCAAGAAATGATTCAAGAAAAGATAGCCATGGCCACCAGCTTAAATCTAGCAGGGAAAGCGTCGTTACAGAAAGTTCTTAGGTGTCCAAAAAGGCGTCCGGTGTGTGCAAAACTAGGACACGCTACCCTAGATGTGCATACATACAACATTGATATACCTACGATTATGATCTTTCATCAAGTATGATTTCCAAGCGTAATGTTGCAAGCTCTTCAACCTCCAGATCTTACAATACCGGCTATGCTAGATGAAATTGGTGATACGGCCGACTTAGACGCAAGGGCCCTGACATTCAAAACATGCTTGCTGGGTAGCGGTTCGCCCTCGTACCGCCACAGCTTGGTGGCAGATGACTGTGACACCGATGCGAACGCCATCTGCAGGCGTCGTTAAGTGCCTGAAGATTATTGGTGTCATCGAGCATTTCCAGTTTGCTTACCTGTTGATGGAAGCAATCAGTGCCAGTTTGTTTACCTGTTGTGCGATTTTTCAGATTACGTTCGGCCCATCTGCCTGCCGTTCGACGCTCAGTGCGGAGAGCACATGTGGGCCAGGAGCTCACTGTGGCCGGCTTTGGCGCCAGTGAGTATGGATGACTGCCCCGCCACTGAGTGGGAGAAACACGTCGCTGCGTCCGGAGGATGCATTTCACCCCCATTTGTACGCCGATAATGGGGCCCGCGGCGGCGTCACTGAAGCCCGGATACGGAGATCAAAACAGCGTCGAAGTCGGGCCAGTGCCGGACGTGCAATGACAGCGGGCCAAGGGCGATAAAGGCAAAATTATAAATATGGCCTCAGGGTGTGTGTTCGTTCATGGAAATTTGGGAGCTGTCTGGTTTTAATTATTTTGCGATTGCTTTGCTTAGGTTGGTGTATATTTCAAGTGCCAGATTTTATACTTGGGACGATTTACATTAAGTACGTTGTGAAGCACGCAAATTTTATTTTGGACCGCACGAATTTCCATAGTTTCTTGTTTGATAAATATCTGGACATGAAGATGCTTGTAACCGAACATGCCCACTAGATATTTTTACCAAACAACCGCAGCTTTTGTGCAAGTACCCTGATGTGATGGTGGAGCTGCGAAGTTCATTTGGGGGCTTTTGCATCTAGCCTTCATGTATCTTATCAAACAGCGATAGCCTTTGCCGCGGTTTATTGTCTTTGAGACACCGAATCACTGCACATTGGCATATGTACGTGAACGTAGACGCCTCTTCTTAAATGTAACGTAACGGAATCGGTCTTGGAAAATTGCGGGTGACATCAGAACACAATAAGCTGGGTGATAATGATGTGCATGTTCACCACATCCGTGCGATTTGTATTCGTCCGTGGTGACTCGGCAACTCGTCTGTTCCAGTTCGCGGCCAAGGCGACACCGTGCGCGAGCTGACCGTGCCCGTGGTGGGCAACAAGGAGTGCTCGCAAGTGTACCGGAGCTACAGGACCCTGATCGGAGCCGAGCAGATCTGCGCTGGCGGCGAGCGCGACCGCGGCGCGTGTGCCGGCGACGCCGGCGGGCCGCTCATGGCCATGCCCGCGCCCGGCCAGCCGCACTACCTGATTGGCGTCGTCTCGTTCGGCCCAGCCCGCTGCGGCACCAGGAACGTGCCCGACGTGTACACACGCGTCACCGAGTACGAGCAGTGGATCGTCAGTAACATGCGCGACTGAGGGCCGCGGCGGCGGCCACTGCTGGGTGGCGCGGGGGGACGAATGACTGCTGTCGCGCGTCGGCAGCAGGCAGCGTGATTTGACTCCGTGCCTCCACGGAGCCAGGCCAAAACTCCACACAGTCTAGCAGGGTGATGGGTTGGGGTCATTATGCACTTCGAGTAATGTTATAAAAGCGTAGGCGCTAGGGTTGAAATGGATTCTCATTCTAATCCGTCGTTGAAAGGTGCACCGTGGCACATGTGGTTTAGAAGTCGCAGTCAGGGCCCTAGCTGCGGCTGTCCCAGCCGGGTGGAGTCGTCGAGCCAGGCTCCTCGCGCCTACACAGCACAGCTGACGGCGTCGGCATGGCCCGACTGGCGGGCCACCTGGACGACGGTCAGTCTTGCGCGGCGTATCAAATTATGCTGATCGTGGATGTGAATCTCACACTGCGCTTTATCGGCTGCACTTCTACATGGTCTGTCGCGCTTAGGACTGAGCTGATTTGACCGATCTGAAGGTGAGCCGATGAAACCGAACCGGGACTTGAATGTCATGACCAAATTGTTCATTGGTTGACAATTTTTATCATTACAAGCTCGTATTAAGCGGCGGCAGTTGGTTGGCCTTCTGTATAAGTTGTTAAATGTTTAGTAACGAGTCCAAATTACGAACATTAGCATTTGCCATGGGAGTCCACGACCCCCCCAGGAGGACGAGCCTTAAACTGTAGTACACCCCATATCATTACACCTGCGGAGCTGGCCTCCGCGCGTCTGATCGCAGTTGAAGCAAGGCCGCTTTACAAAGGTCGGTTAGCTGAAATGCGAGACACGTCATTGGACATCTGATGCCATGCGGGGCATGGCAGCGCGCTGGCCCCGTGTCCTGGTCGTGGTGTGTAGATGAATGGTGTAAACGCAGTGACTTTTGTGCGTGACTGGGAATACAGTGGAATTACATCCTGTTTTGAGCAGCTGAATGCGTGAGGATGCTGTTTTTATAGTCCAGCCGTTTAATCCTTGAAGGACCAGACCTGCTGGCTAAAGGAATAATCACTCGTCCAGGGCCTGCTCCAAAACCCCATTGAAG